TATGGTATTGAATATGCAGTATAGGTTACCAGTCAGGAAGAGTCACAGTATTCCAGCAGGAAGAGTCACAGTATTAAATCAGCAATAGTCACCATCAGCCTTAAAGCATTACCGTGTGAAGAGGCTGGCCCAAGCACTTTTGGATAACCAAATGATTCCCTGTGACATGAGGTACTCAAACTCTTGTCATGGCACCTGGTCTGGCAACAAACAACAAAGTTTAAAAAACATGGGGGATCTTTAGTCTAAAATGGAAAATTGTAGAAGTCTGATCATTATTGGTTATATAAGAAGGAATAGTGCGCTCAGATACTCAACTAGTAATTTATCAAATTTAAAGTCGCCAAGAAATATATATGTCTAAATCAAAAAAACTCTTACACAATTTGCCATGCGTTGACAAACTAGTCTTAGAATCATTAAGGCAATTATTAGTTCTGGAATTATTAAGGTAATTATTAGCAATGTGAGCAAGTAATCCATATTTTTTAAGGAAATCAGCAGTCAGAATTGGCTGATTTACATCCACAATGACAAATAAACTACGTAAAGGTGCAACACAAATTTAAATCCAAAGTAAAATGGCTGTTGCCATATGTGGAAAATCTTAGTTCCATTCATGACCCACAAAATAATCTTGAGAAGGCCTAAAAAACAGGGCATACATTTTTGGTAACACCTACACATATGCCCCTGCATCAACTAAATGTTTTAATTTTGACAAGAGGTTGGCCAAAAGTATGCGATTTGCCTGGCAACCATCACCTTGGCCAACAAACGATTTGACATTTTCCATTTTACATAAGGAACATGACTGACATTTCCTTGCACAGCCATCAAAATTTACATGATCATCTTTTCACTATTTATAGTGATTAGTGTATTCGCATGACTTACTGTGCTGAATTGAATACTGAAATTGTGCTTAGGACTGTGAGAATAATGTCCCAAGGCATAGATTAACAAACCAACTTGCTTTGCCAGTTGCTCTACCTGAAGTTTCAAACGAGAAGTAACATTTACTTGGTTCAGGGTTTATGATAGCCATATTCACATAGCGAACTCAGTAATCTTATCAGCAACCTTAACCAATTTACTCAAATCTTCTTCACTGATAGCAGCCAAAATACATTATGTATTATTGCAGAGCCTTGCAAGCCAGGGCGATCTTAACAAGGGTTTCCCTATGGTATCACCTGCTAAAATGCACAAATGAGTCGACATTCTCAAATGATAACATTCAAGTGTCAGTATGAAATGACAAAAAATTTAAGAAATTTATCTTCCTCAAGACTATACTAAAATACACTAGTATGTAAATCATTAGCAACTTTTCTGATTTGCCCATAATTCTGCAAAAATTCAACTGAGATACATGAAATTCATACTACAGAGGCACAACGTAGTACTTGAAGGATAATGAAAGTATAGTAGCCAAAAAAAAAAATGAATAAGATGTGTATAGTATGTATGGAATGAGCAGAAAAAGGCTATACTGACAGAATGGTGTTGGTACAAAAAACTATCTTTCCAAGAGGAAAAATAACAAACCAAAGAGCATTTCTAAGAGATATGACCTCCTGTAACTGCAAGGGTTGCATTACATAGTCTGTAGATATTCCACACCAGATTATCTAACAGTTCTTGGGGTAAGAGTTCCCATATTTTAAGGAGCATCTGTTTAAAGTTGGCTGATGTTCTCTAGAGGGTAAGACTGTGCTGCAAGTGATCTCTCTAAAGTATTTCACATATGTTCAATGTGATTTAAATCAGGAAAGAGTGCTGACCAATCCATTTTGTGAATATCTACTCTTTCCAGGAGCTCTTCCACAAAATAAGTCCTGTACGGCTGCGCATCGTCACCCATAAAAATAATCAGGACCAATGGCACCCGGGAAAAGATGCAAGCAGCAGAAGATAATTTCATCACAGCAATGACCTCTGGTAAGTGGATCTCTGTCGAAAACCTGGAGCTCCATCCATTCATTCATTATAATGCTTCCCCATACAAACACCAGAACCACCCCAGTAATCTCTCTCCTTGATGTTAGCAGGATTAAAGCATGAGACTAACTCGATGTCAACTTATTTTCATGACTGAGAAGACTCTCATCAGTAAAGAGGAAATGACTCCACTGATGAGGTGGTGTTTTTGGGTTCTCTACACCACAATGTCGCCAAAGGGCTGCTGTCAATGGTATGAAGTGTTCAGGACAGCAGGCAAACAGGCCACCTTCATGAAGTCATCTGGCCACAATAAATTGAGACACCTGTCATCCGCTTGCTGGATGAAACTGTTGAGAAATGTTGCCCACTGTCTGGTTTTGATTTCTTTTCGCCTGCAGGATGACATATCAGTCATCAGTCACCATTGTTTTCCTTGGCCGAACATCACCAACTATTAGAACTATACTTGTCATTTAGAAGTCTTTCCAAGCTCATCCTGATGTTTTATTGTAGCCATACTGCATGTACAATCTTACTTTCACTTGTAGAAGAATGCCTCAAAATGCACTTTTCTATCTTCTATTTAAGTTACACTGCACGGTGTATCAAGATCACAGAACTTTATTGTAATCGAACACAGAACTGGCATGCTCCAAGCAAGTGTGGACTGGGGATGAGACTATGGAAAATGGTCATGGAGTTGTACACATTTATGTGAAAGAGTATTTTTTTTTTAAATAAAGAGTCTTGTAAAATTAATGTATGATGCCAACATGACAAGTTGGTGATAATGGCTGTGGAAAAATAAAGCACTAAAACTAAGAGCCTACGCGAAGAGCTTTTCAGTTATCGGATACTCACTTTCGTTTCAGGCAGGAATTTCCCGAAAACAACTCAAGGTAAAAGTTTTATAGTCATTTTTTTCCAAGGAATTAAATATGCAGCAATGGGTTACATATTTGGTTTTGTAATAACATGAGCTGCACCATACAAGTAAATCTCTTAACCTTTTAACTGTCCACTGGCATTCCAAAATGTAACGCCTGAGTATTACTCAGGGGGCTGCCCAGTCAGTATAGAGGTCAGGGAAGCTGACTGCGATGCCAGAGGGCCTGGGTTTGAATCCTGGAGAAAGCATGGTTGTAACTGTCCATCCCTTCATAGGAAAGACAAAGATGGCTCACCTATTAGGTGCCTCCATAATAATGAGACCACCACATTCGGGCTTGTATGGACGAAGATGGCCCACCTATTAGGTGCCTCCATAACAATGAGACCACCACATTCGGGCTTGTATGGATTAATGGACTGAGTTACATTTGTAATTGTTCACAATTTGCCACTGGAAAAAAAAATGTATTACTTGGGGTGATTTTTTTGAGTGCATTGAATTGTTATACCCAAATATATATAGTGGGAAGTTTATTCTGGCTTCAATGCAATAGATGGCAGCACTTTACTGAAGGTTTCAAAGGATAAAGGTTTATGTTCAAAGTGCACGGCACTTTTTTGTTGCAAAATGGCATACAGTTCTTTGAAATGTTATATAGATGATTTAGATTCTCCATCCCATGTTCCTCCTACTCCTGTAAAACGTGAGCCTACAAGACAGTGCGAAGTTTGTTGTTCAAAAAAGAAAAAAAAATGGGAAAAAGATAAGGTAGGAAACACAATTCTGGTGTACTGATTGTGGAGTTAGTATATGCCTAGAAAAGTGTTTCCAGTTATATCACACAAAACTGAAATACTAAACTGCTAATAAATATTCATTTTTATTTATTTATTTTTTAGAAAATATTTATTTATTTTTATTTTTTAATTTTTTAGAAAATAATGCTCCACTAGAACAAAATTTTACCACTGCCATGCTAAGTGGCAGGCCCTTCAAGCGAATTATACAGTGGCTACAAGACCTTAAAATTTTTATGCATGTAATTCAAAATATCAATTTTTAATGACCAAGTATATTTTATTTTGTACTAAATATTTGATTTTTGCAATAAAAGAATTGACAATTTATGTATCCAAATCATCAAAATAACTTGACAGTTAAAGGGTTAAGATACACCACTAGGACACAAAACATCAAAAGTATCAGAGGTGAAAATAAGCAACAACAAAAAATCAAACACATAATTCAGAAAACTCAAACTTACTTCAAAGAATTACATGCTATACAAAATAAAAACAATAAAAAATTACCATAGAATTTATATTTTTGCTGTTGCATGTAGTGGTACAAAACTGGAAAACCATGCTAGACAACCTGAGCAATGTATTATTGATTGCTCTTGTCATAGAAAACGTATTTTTTTTTAAATAGTTCAAAACAGAAATGCAAAAATTTTAATGGAAACAGAAGGGATAACCTACTCAACACAACAATAATATTTGCTGACTGTCAGAAAAAGTATTCAATACAACAGTAGATAAGGTTATCAAGATGTCCCTGGATATAATTGCCAGCAAAAACATTCTTAGTGCCAAAATATTATCACCGAGAATATGTGAAAATACACACACAGTAAGTAGCAAAAGCAATTTCATGACTTTGAAAATTATTATGAATGTGTGTATCTGACACTAACTAATTTGACTGTTTTTTCAAACTAATTTCATATGAAAGTAATGTAAATATGTACTACTGCAAAACTTTTATGGTTGGCTGGTTATTCAGTTATGATAGAGCACACAATGGCAATCTGCCTTAAGAAGGATGGTTTTGAGATCTTTTTAACAGAAATTAGCTTCCATTCTCAATGACATGAGAAGAACCATGAAAACCTCATGCAGCCTGCACACCTGTCAGGAACTAACACTTGGAAGAAATAATGATATTTAATGATTTGATCCATTCCGCATTTGACCAAAAGGAAAATTGGCCCGCAGTTATTTCACAAGATAGCAGATGAAAAACTCATAACATAAATGACCTTTATTCAAAATTTAAAGCATTAATATGCTTAATTCTCTGTATCTTGATAAAATTTCTCAGCATGAACACACTGCAATATACAAGATTTTCCAAGACTGAATGTTTAAAATTTCAATACCTGCTCATCTCAGCGCTTTCATTGTTAGAATTTCCTTTCATATCAGTACTTCCCTGTGAAATAAATAATCCAAAATTTAGCAAAAAATCACTTAATACAACTAATGCATCATAATAAAAATATACTTTGAAATTAGTGTTAATAAATATACATGAAAAGTATATTTTAATAAAGCAATCAAATTCAGCTGACTTACATGACATAATGGAGAAGTGTCAATCTTCGAAAATTTTCTTAAGAACATAGGATTGATGTCTGTAAGCTTACTTCCAGCAATTTCATTAGATATGTCATGCGCACTTGGGCGGCGACCAGAGAACTGAACGTCTGCACCTTCCCAAAACAAGCAATTTTGCTTGTCCACAGCAGAATTAGAAAATTGTAATTGGTCTAAAATATATTCATTATTTAATATATACATATATATGCAAATATACATATATATGAAACAATATATATACACATATTAAATATATTCATTATTTAATATATGTATACATATTGTTTCAAAAGAATAAATTGAATAACCATACTTTAGCCAGTATTTAGTAAAGTTTTGATATACCAGTTGGAATCAAGTTTATTAAAACTTTCAATATTTTCTTTCTTTAAATTTAGCTTTTAATAAACATTTCTTAGGAATTTTTGGGAAATTTCTAGGACATTTCTGGGAATTTTTTTTTTTAACTTACTTTTTCTTTCTTTAAATTGAAAAAAAAAAAAAAATTTAAGGATTTCTTTTCAAAATTTAATTTTTACTTGAAAAAATTTGGGGAATTTTTTAAGACATAAAATGTCAAAAATTTACTTGCTTTTAAGTATTTTTTATGTAGTATTTAAGTATTTTCTAGATATGTAATTATATTTTTTAAGTATATATTTGTTTTTTATAAATTATGAATTAGTTCTTTTTAGTTTCTTATTGGTTTATATTAATTTGTCTAGTTCTTTTTTTAGTTTCTTTTTGATTAATATGCATATTCGTGTTGGGGAGGTTTCTGTAGACAAGGGTTTCTAAAATGCATTGGTTTCTAAATTAATTTAATTTTTCTGGAAAATTTTTTATTTTTTAAAAAGGTTTAATTTAATACTAAACTTTACATTGCTTATTTCTCAAAATATTTCATTATTGGTATTTTCCTTTAGACCTTTAATTTTTAATTGCTAATTACTCAAGGTACCACTCAGTTGGTATTTCTTTTTGGACATTCTTCACTACTTTTGGTTTTGACTTTTACCCTTGCTTGCATGAATGACAAAACACGAATTGAATGATTGAAGAGTTAGGTTTGGAGGCAACTTCCCTCGATAAGTCTGTCTCCTGCCTGCTCAACAGTCATTCACTTATGCATTTTTAAAAAAATTTTTAGATTAATTTTAATTTGCTAAATTGGTGAATTTATTTTCATGTTTTAGTTTTGCACTTGATTTACTTATGCTATCTGAATTTAAATGATATTGTAGATAAGTTCGAAAATTAAATCTTTTATATGTATGCACATTATTTTAACTTTAAATTTGCTTTTTTACTTATATACATGTTTGTTAAAATTTATATGTATATATATGATATAATCAATATATATACATATATTGATTATTTAATATATATATATATGTATGCAATTTTTGGATATGCATTTATATGTATGCACATTATTTTAACTTTAAATTTGCTTTTTTACTTATATACATGTTTGTTAAAATTTATATGTATATATATGATATAATCAATATATATACATATATTGATTATTTAATATTATATATATATTATGTATGCAATTTTTGGATATGCACTTTTAAAAGCAATGTATATGTTCTCAATTGGTCTAATGAGCTAACTGTTATCACAAGCTACTACAGTTTGCAATACACATTAAATGGGAAATTAATCAGCAATCTTCTGTTATTAGACGATATCTGTCACTACACTACCAAAACTCTATCCAGCCCTTTTGGTAATGAAATATATTTACAACATATACAGATTAATTTAAAATGTTTTTTAATCTGCAGTGGGTATTGCTTGGAATCACATCAAATATGGTTATCCCCCAAGCTTGTTACTACATTCACTTGAATGCAGCTAAATAAGTATGAAGCAACTTTCCTCAAACTAATTTCCACTTTTAACACTTTGTCAGCATTAGCAACACTGTATTTCCAACACACAAGTTTTGCCCATAAAGTAACCGTAAAATTTCTCATAAATAAAAAAAAAAAAAAAGATACTAATAATGACAAGAGTCTACACAATTTTTCCAACTTATCTTCAGGTCATCAAAACACTGTTTATAGACACTGGAGCTGAAAGTTCACCTAACATGTAACTTTTTATTTAACAGCCAATATATTTTCAAAGTACTGTCCTTTCATGGCTATCTTAAGCTTCAAAAAAGGAAAAAATTAGTTGGCAATAAGTCGGGGGAATATAGCGGGTGATTTATCACTATACTTGAATGCTTAGCAAGATTTTGCTGTACAGACAATGCTGTATGCAGAGTAGCATTACTGTGTAAAAGAAACCATTCTCCACAATCAGAAAGTTTCTTACGAAGTCACCTTAGCCTGTTTTACAATTGAAAAAGCACTTTCTTTCAAAATACTGATTAATTAATTGATTTTTAGGGGCAAATTCATGCTAAATTCTTTGTAATAAAAAAAAATGCAATCAGCATTATTTTAGTCTTTGTTTCAACAAGTGTGCTTTTTTTCATATGGGAGATGATCCTTTCCATTCTGCATTTTGTCTTTCTATTTTTAGGTTGTATTGTAGACACCATGTTTCATCTCCCACTAAGATAAACTAAAAAACTGTTGTTCTGTGCCACAGCAGTCAGCAAAGCTTTTGAGCATGCTTTTCTGTCTTCTTTATGCTGTCAAAATACACAGCACAAATTGAGCAAAGTTTCCTCATTTTCAGATTTTCAATTAAAATTAACATACAGCTTTCTTTGCTTATCCCAAGCATGTCTGAAAGTTGCTTACATGTCTATCAGTTTTTATCAAAGAAAGATTTTTATCTACATTTTCTTCATTATTTAAAATAGAACGGCACACTATAGCTCATTTTCAATGCTTTTTTGCCCACCTTTAAAGCAGTTGTACTATGCATACACTTGTGTTCTTGATAATAATGCATCATCATATACTGTTGAAATCACCTCTAATGTTTCGGTAGCAGATTTACCTAATTTGTAACAAAATTTAATGTTATAACATTTCATCTAAAAGCAAATTTTTTTGTATAAGCAATTTTTTATACGTCTTCTCAGTACAAGAAAAATGACTCTGCCGTTTAGATAGATAAACAATAAAAGAACCAGGTTAAACTGGATTTAAAAGAGATGTCACTCTTTCTAAACACACATTTATTCTTTCACGTTTTTACTTTATTATTTGGTCTTTTAATTTGTCTGTTAATTTTACAGGTATGTATCATGCATCATGAATGCTTGCATTACCTGAGATTTCAAATACTCATGATTTTTGGCAAAATGTCATTTGGCTGGAAATAATGAACTATTTCCTATTTCATTTTTTATTAAACCTGGTAACTCTATAACAAAATCCAGTAAAAATTAATACAAGATAAACAAATGTTGTTCCAGAAACTTTCCACAGGAGAATAATTGTGCAACAAAAAATGACACAACATAGATGTGCAGTTCTTCTGAAGAACAAAATGATATAAAAAAGAAACTATCTCCAAAGCTCCCTCTCTTAGCCTCCCACAAAGAAATGCAAATTTTCAGTTTTTAAATGGAAAACAAATTACAACATTAAAATACCTTAAAAAATCTAGAATAGTTTAACAGCAATTGAAATAAAGAAATATAATTTTGCTCATCCCGAAAATTAGAAATGTCATTTACTATTATTATTATTTTATTCAATTATTTACTATTTTCTAGATAAAGAACACGAGTTGACAACAGTTCCTCTATAAGAGTTTTCTAATTTTAAAAACATTAAAATTATTTCTAAAATTAAAAATAGAAAACAATTTAAGTTTTGGCCTTCTCTTTATTTACACTCACAAAATTGGCTCTTTTTTAATTAGTACTTCAATCAGAGTTTAAAATTAGTTACTTTAATTTAAAATCCAACTTTTAAAAAATTGTAATTTAGTTAATCATAATGCATCATAATTACCTGATGAATGACTGTTTTCGTCAGCTTTTGCTGAAGCTACAGCACAGTTTCTGACATTTTTAACACACGAGCTAGGAAACTTAGTTTCCGTGACAAAGGAATCTACTTCTTTACTCAAGCTCTTGTTTTCCAGAACGGTTCCTTCTTCTTGAACAGGTAAAGCATCCATAAGAGGAACAGGACTTCGATCTCTTTTACAAATTTCTCCGCAAGTGGAATCAAGTGGACTTGACAGTGTATTTGACAGTGATTTTGTATTTGCTGCAGGTTTATCATCTAATATTTCAGAAGATTTATCAGAATCAAGAACTAATTCCTTGTTTTCTTCTTCATGATGACTACTTGATTTTGGATTTTTTAAGACATCTTCAGTATTTAATTTAGGACATGAAGGATCATGAGATATACTGCGTCCAAAGTTGTCATTTCCTTTCATACGAGGCACACCATTTACTAAATCTTCTATATTTACAGGTGGTTTCAATATAGTAGGAGATGCACCACTCACAGTAGCTCTCCTCTGTACAGCAAATGGTGTTGTGCCAGGAAATAATCGATGGTGGGAAGAAGCTTCTTTAGCCAAAATAAGATGATTTACAGAAGCTGGTAAAAATGCTGAATCATCTTCATCATCATTAAAATCATCTCTAAAAAAAGATAATTCTTCATAAAAACCAAATTTAGTATAACAAATTACAATGATCCTTGAATTATGCAGGTTTGAATTGGTAAGTCTCCTTATATCTGGAGTTTTAGTCAATAAACATATTAGAAAAATTTGGGAGAGATCTGGAGCAATTTGGAAGGGTAGAAGACAAATTATACAGCTTACAAATAAAAAAAAAATTAAAGGTATATTACGAATGTATAAAATGTGTAGCAATCATATTACTGCTGAGCTTTTTATCAAATTTTTCAATCGGTAAATAAATATTCCTTTTCCCTGCATAACTTTTTTTTTTTTTTTTCAAATTTTTGATACACATAACAGCTTAGTGTTTTCACCCTATATGAAAATACAAATGTGACAGGTTTAAGATCTTTCATTTTTGCTGATCTTATTAAATGCTTTTCTTTTTTCTAGCTTGTTTTATGGCATGAATACATTACAAAAACTGTATGTATCATGAAAAATAAGCGTTAATCTAATTGTTAGGTCATCAGTAAAACTGGTGGACCCAAGACTTTAGAGGATAGCAAAAATTACAGATTGTAAATTTGCAAACTTGCTTTATGCTGAAGCCTATCCTGCATAATACAAGAGACAACTGTGTATCACTACTAGATAGAGCAAGGTGAAAGAAAAAGGTAAAAAAGTGCTTACTATACCTATCCCTCGATTTATACGGTACTCGTTTTACACGATTTCAGTTTTACACAGTTTAAAAATTCACAGATTTCAAAAACTTGGTAAAAATGTATATTCGGCTGTATATATGCAAATACATATATCTGAAGTCATTTTTTAATCTCATTCCTCTGGTAACACTGGTGGCAACAACAAAGATGGGGAATCCCCGTAGTATATATATGTATTTTCACAACAGTAAAGCTATTTGGTTCATGAGAACTAGTGCCGTATCAGTATTTTAGCAGAAGAGCTTACATCATTTTTATCTACATATTTGAATGTTTACTGGTAAGTTTTTCAACATTTATATTTTTTGTGGCATTTTTATAATTTACATAATTTTTTAAGGTTTTATAAAGCCAAAAGATTTGAAAAAAATCAAATAAAAAGAAGTTATTTCTTTAGAAATAAACATTCAAATATTAGATCGCCTACGTAATAGAGAAGAGTAACAGATGTTGCTAAATTTTACTTCATGAATGAAGCCACAATAAAGACAATTAGAAAAAATGAAGTCTCTATTAGAAAAAGTGTAGTAGCTGGAACTTGTAGCAACTCTTACAGTTTCATACGTAAGAGATGATACAATGGAAAATATAGAAAAGGCATTAGTGATATGGATAGAAACCAAAATCAAAAATAGATTCCAATTGATACTAATGCTATTATAGGCTTTAAAGATTTCACTTAAGATTCAGTCACCGTCGACTTCCTCAGATGAAAAAAAAGTGTCTTTTTCTGCAAGTCAGGGTTGGTTTGAGTGATTTAAACAAAGACATTCTTTACATAATCCACGATTGAAAGGAGAGAGTGCATCTGCTGATTCGGATGCAGCATAACAATATTCAGCAAAATTTGCTGAAATTATTGCCGCCAACTCCTACACTTCTGATCAGATCTTCAATGCTGACGAGTCCAGGTTGTTCTGGGAAAAAAAAAAAATGCCTGAAAGAACCTATTTAGCTAAAGCTTGCAATTCAGCTAGTGGTCATAAGGTATCGAAAAGTTGTATAACAATTCTTTTCGGTTGCAACACTTCAGGCGAAAACCATCATCTTCAGGCACTTCATCAAAAACACCCTGCTCATTTAAAGGAAGGAACATCAATAACCTTCCCGTTTATTTGATGGCTAATAAGAAAGCATGGGTCACTGCCATAGCTTTCAATGAATGGTTTCATAATGTGCTTGTCCCAGATATCAAAAATTATTTAAGTAAAAAGGGATTGCCTTTTAAGGATCTTCTGTTAATTGATAATGCACCTGGTCATCCTCAAGATTTACAACACGAAAATGTAAAAGTTGTCTTTTTACCAAAGAATACAGCTTCCTTATTACAGTCATAATTTTGACTTTTAAGGCATTGAATACCAATCAAACCTTTAAGTATATTTTAGAACAAATGGAGAATGATGAATCTCTTACTCTTATGGATACTTGGAAAAAATTTACAATCTTAGAATGTGTTAAGCATGTTGCACTGACATATACTCAGATTAAACAATCAATGCTCAACACATGCTGGAAAGCAATATGGGTGGATGCTGTTCAAGATGAGAATGATAGATAGCCATTAGAGCATGAATATTCTCAGATCACTAAATTGGCCCAAACTATAAAGCCCAAACTAAATTGGCCTAAACTTCCATGTAAATCGAGGGATAGGTGTACAGTAAAAAAGTCTTTAACTGCACTACTGTATTAACATAAACTTAAACAGAAGCTATAGTATGACTTTCAAAACTCCGCATACAAACATTAAGGGGAAACCATATTCACATACAAAAATTAAGATTGAAAACAAATAGGTGGTGCTATGTGCCAGCATTCCAAGCCTGGGCTTCCTCATTAAAATTTGTAATATCAAATGGAAAACATGCAGCTTTTTTAATGTTGATTTATCATGGGTTCATTTGATAAATCAATGGACAAATTGCAGCAGGAATGTATCAGGAAAAGCAACTTACGAGATGTGCACCATAGCAAGAATTGTTTGCATATTTGTATCACTGATCCTACAGGATTACGACGAGGCATACCAGGTGGCCATAACTGATTTGAACTCTTATTATGGAAGAAAAGTGTTGAATGTTGCAGACCCCCGGGGAAAACGATTTGGAAATATGACTTGTATGCGATTTTATCGTGCGATTCTGATATTATTTTGAATTTTATTTATTCAGTTTCTAATTTGTGCTTTCCCAGTGCTCGGGTACCTTGGTATGGTCAGGGGGCTCCCTCTCCAGGGAGGGTCGAAAGCCTGAGCAAAAAGTGCCTACTACTTACTGACTTGGTGTGAACCCCAGGGTACCAGGTCGGTCTACAGACCCAGTGCATCTTATTTAGTTAAGAGACTAATAAACTCTACATTGCTCAAAATGAGTTCTAAAGACATTCTAAAGGAAGCACAGGCATACATTGCCACCTTAGAGACAATATTGACAAATAAAGCCTCTGGCATAAATAAGGCAGTAGCTGCTGATATTCGACATCAATTCCAATTGATGTTTAATCTCCTAACAGAACAGTGTGTTGAGATGGCGCACATGGCGGGACAAATTCACCAAACTGCAAATATCAAAGACTCTTATGCGGACGTACTTAAACGTCCAGCTCGAGATCGATCAAAGACACGGAGAAGACCTGACAAACAACATGTCACTATTTTATACCCCCACAAATGAGTCACATCAGAAAGAAACTTCTAAAAACTATTGATCCAACAAAGCTCCATATAGGAGTTAATGCAATATTTATTAAAAAATGTGGCAAAAGGCGGTCTCCTAATAGAGACCAATAAAGCGGAAGACATAGAGACGTTAGAAAACGAGATTAACACTCTACCAGAACTCAAAAAGGACTTACAAATTGTTCGTCCTACACGAAGGCTTCCAAAAATTATAGTCTATGATATTCCAAGGACTCTGACTAAGGAAGAACTTAAGGAAGCCATTTTAGCCCAAAACGAAGGCATCGATGGTGATGGCCTACAGGTTAAATTTCTCTATCAAGCATAAGAAAGGAAATCATTGGGTTTGTGAAACCTCACCGGAGGTTTTCAAACACTTACTAAGTTACGCAAACTTGTGTTAATTGGGAACGTTTCAATTTAAGAGAATACATCAGACCAACGCAGTGTTTTAAATGCTGCCAATACCGACATATTTCTAAACAATGCCAAACAGAAGAGGCATGTGGGACATTGTGGAGAAGTGGGACATTCCCACAAAAATTGTGACAATAACTACCAAAGATGTATTCATTGTGCAGAAAGAAATGCGAATAGTGATAAGCACCTTGACGAGCAGCACTTCAAGTTTTTCAAAAGACTGTCCTAGCAGACAGCTAGAAATTGAAGATCTTCGAAAGAAAATCAATTATGGCTAGAGAGAACTTATTCAAAATATAAAAGCGTTGCAAATTAACCTTTAGCGAGATCACATGTCGCAACAGCACAACTAAAGACTTGTATCTTTGAATACGACTTGATTTTTATTCAAGAACCATACTGTATCAATGACAAGCCGTCTGGCTAATCCGACTCAAACTAAAGTCATTTTTCTATAAATGAACCATCCCAAAACGGCAACAGTGGTGGTTAACCCATTACGGTTCTAAATACCTTACGCATTCTTCTACTTTAAATGTATATTACATTAAAGATTGAACATAGGACAATGATTATTTTTAACTGTTATAGTCAACCTATTAACGGACTTAACAGACTTAACTAACTCTGTACTCAACTTAGCTGGAACGTAATTTCGACGATCAACATGATCTCCTAATCTCCTTGGTGACTTAAATGCGAAAAGTGAGCTCTGGGGCTCCCCATTTGAGGATCCCAGAGGAACGCACACTTAGAGAATTCTTGAACAACCCATACGACTTGTCATAGAAAATGATCCGGATGGTCCCCCTACCTACAACTGTTCAAGGGGAAAAAGCTGGAATTGATATTACTGCCTTCTAGATCAGTCTCTTCCATGCCCTTTCATCCATAATTGGAAAGTTTTGGACTGTATCACTTTAAGTGATCATTGTTACATATCTTTTGAAATTACGTATCAAAATTCTAGCTCATACTCCAAAGAGTCAAATATAAACTTAACACAAATGGATTGGCTCTTACTGAAGGCAAAATTTGGTCACTTTTTGGTTCATGGTTCTATGGAACCTCAATTACTTAAAGATACAGTTGATCTTAATCAACTTATCCTCAATTGGACTCAGAAAATACAAGAATACTGTGACTTGGCAATCCCAAGCCAACGGAAAACACGTCCGAAACTCAACATAAAGGAGTTCCCTGGTGGACTCCAGAACTCTCAATATTAAGAAAACGAGTTCCTCGCTTTGACGAAAGCGATACCAAAAATGCATTCATGATGACGACGAGCTGAGGGCTCACTACAAACAAGCTTACAAAAAAGATCTCACTCTTTATAAAAGAAAGCTCATGCAAGCCAAAAGAATGACTTGGAGGAGATATCTGGAGCGACTAAGTCCCAGTACTCCCTTTGGGGTATATTATGATATAGCTAAAGGGAACATGCAATCTCCTTTTCAACTAAAAGCGTTACTCAAACCTGATCAGACTAAGACTTCAACAATAGAAGAAACTATCCATTTATTAATGGATTATACTTTCCTAAAGATACAATAAACGAAGACACAGAGTTTCATAAACAAATACGCGATAACCTGAAGAATCAATATAACTCTATGAATGACGTACCTTTCACGGTACAAGAAGTGGAGCACGCTATCAAATCCCTAAATCCAGGCAAAGCACCTGGAATGGATAATATACCAAAAGAAATTATAGCTGAAGTTTTCTATGCGCTACAGAAATTATCAGAATGGGCACTCCAGTGTAAACTTCAATTTTCGCCCGAAAAGTCAAAGTCCATGTTTATAGCAATCAAAAAAACGCGGTGCAGCATATTCAGCACTGACAATAAAGATGAATGATTACACAATAAAGAGACAAAAATCTATTCAATATCCTGGAATAGTTATAGATGAATGTCTTACTTGGCTTCCACATTTAGACTATATCAAATCCAAAGTCTGCAAAATAATGAATAATCTGTTGAGATTACCTGGACTGCCCAAACCCGTTCTGAAAGAACTCTATAAACGAGCAATAGAACGTACCATAACATATGCGTGTCCAGCATGGTGGTATCCACCCATGGTAAAAATGAGAAATAAAGCAAACGCTATTCAACGCATTGCCCTTCTAGCAATGACAAAATGTTATAAGACTACTTCCACTGCAGCTCTTTAAACTGGACATGGAAAGCATTATCCAACGATCAAAACGAGGATGGACTGACTTCAACTTTGATGACTTAGAGTTTTCAAGGGAACAAATAGAATTCCCAGTCAATAAATGGCATTCTCACCCTGCTCATATCCAAATCTTCGGTTGGGACAATAAGCCTCCCACTAATCAAGGATTAGAAATTTACACAGATGGATCAAAGAATGAAGATGGTACTGGAGCGCAGGCTTTTGCTCCTTTAATCCTCCTAATGGCGATTGCCAAGAACAATTCATGTTTCAATTAGATACGACTTGCACAGTGTACCAAGCCGAAACTCAGGCCCTAAAATCGGCATTGTTATGGTTAAAATCACACTACGGACCTGTGCATATATACTCGGATAGTCAGGCCGTTTTAAAATCTATAAACAAGTATGATATTTGTAATCAGAATATTATTGCAATAAAGAAATTACTAGCATATACAAAAGCAAAACTTCATTGGATTCGAGGACACCAAGGCTCTATCGGCAATGAAAAGGCTGATGAATTAGCCAAACAAGGGATATACTCAAACACGCACCTAGAATGCAAGATTCCCATGAGCTACATCATTAAGATGACTAAGATTAAAGTTTCCAATATATGGCAAAGAAACTGGAATATGAGGAAACCGGACGTCATACTTTGATGCTCTTACCAAACATATCGGAAAAACGCCACCGAAGTGATTTCTTCCTAAATCAAATTATTACGAATCATGGAGCCTTTCCGATTTATATAAAAAGAGTCAAGCTCAAAGATACGACATGCAAGTGTCAATGTGGACAAGAATCTGCAGACGCACTCCACATGATAATTGAATGCCCCAGTGTATCTACAAAACGACGAGAAATCTTCAATCAAGTTGTGACTTTAGAAACTTTAAAACGATTAATAAAGAACGATAAGTGTTGTTCTTTGTTAGCAAACTTTATGGAATATATTTATCATAATGAATCCGAATTGTACTTATAAATTGTATCTTCCTATGAATCTTCTCTGTACTTATATCTATTGTATCTACTATACCAATTATGTTTTTGTAACGTTCAATTATTGCTTATATTTCGATTGTACTTAATAATATTATTATTGTTCAAATTCATATCACATTGTATTCTTATTAAATATACTGTAATGTAATTTTTAATAAAGAAGTTGGCGAGGCCAACACATCTAGTCAGAAGACCTCAAAATTCATACTAGGTTTTCTAAATTTACTTTATTGGCATTATTAATTCTTTGAGCTTTTGCTTTAAAAGTGAAAATTTTCTTAGCCTATGGCTCTGGTGATACCTCTGCTTAAGAGGTGCGGACCAGATAATCCACTTTCATGTTGAATGTTGCAGATAATAATCAAGGCAAAAATACACATATGGTTGCTGCTGCGATTCAAACATCTGATGCCTGCATATAGTGCATTTTGTATACCACAGCCTCACATTCATTAGATAAAAAAATTATTCACAACATGCGACATCTGTGCAGTGGTTTCATCAGCAAAGGGCAGGTGAGCAGGAATTACAAAATTTTGTTTTGTTTAATGATGAAATATCCTTTGAAGAAGTTTTCAACACCCACAAAAATGTGCATATGGGACTAAGAGGATCCGCACTCAAAAGACTCACTAGATGCGAAACATTGGTTTGCCCTTAATATGTAAGCAGGTACCACGGATGTTTGCTCAGTCTGCCCATACATGTTATTATTCCAATTGGATATTCAGAATTATCAGATTTTTCTGGAGAAATTTCTTGCTTGATTCATTAAAAGATGTTTCCATGAACATGCATCATCAACTGTTGCTCCCAGCCCATTATGCCATTCATGAACATGAGTACTTGAACCAGACCTTTTGGTATCAAAGGAATTGGGTATGGTGGAACCATCATTTGACCACCATGTGATTTAGTCAGCACTGATTTCTTTTTGTGGGGATCTTCATAGCCATTGTATATGAAACAGCCACTGCTTCTGACATCATGGCAATTATTGCCACTGCTAGTGCTAACATCTGTCAAATTCTAAGTATCTTTGAAAATGTTTGGCAATAATATGGCATTAGTATGGTGTGTGTCACTGCAAATAGTCAGAACTTTAAATACCTCTTGTGAAACCACATCATTTGGCTACAAGTTGTTTAAATTTTGTTTCACCCAATAGAGCTCTTTACACACTGCTTTCAATATTGTAATTTTATAGTGTCTCTTATGCCGTAGGTGGCATACCCAATCATGCTTTCCTGAATGCACATGATTCATATCGCAGTTCTCTACCACATTTAAAAGTATGAATGTGTTTTGAAACATAATAAACCATAACTGCAACTAAACAGAGGAGGAAAGTCCTAAATATTACCGTATATACCCGCGTATAAGTCGATACGGCGTGTCGACCCCCCACCCCCACCCCACTTCGACATAAAAAATTCGTAGAAAGTAAGAAACCCACGTATAAGTCGACCCACTTCCGAAATCGATGGAGAAACTTCGAAAAATATTTTTTAAGTACTACATTTATTTCAAAATCATCTGAGAAAAAAAGTAAATATACGATAAAAAATACCTTGGTAAATAAACAAAATCCTTCAACGTCAGATTCGCCAAACATTTCATAGAACTCTTCTGTCGTCATTGGCTCGTCATACATATTTTCAGTCTCGAACTCTGTATTATTACAATCACTACTAGAGCCTTCGTTGTCATTTTCACCTTTCAAAAACAGCATCATCTTCCGTGACGTCTAGTTCGTTGCTAATACAACATTTTTTAAATGATTTTAATCCACTCTGCCCAATATTTTCTAACATTTACTTTGAAGGGCTGATTGAGGCAGACATCTAGGGGTTGAATGACGGATGTCAATCCTCCCGGAATTACGGCCACAGTCGTTTTTAGGTGTTTTTGTCACTTTTGTCAGTTCTTCAGAAAAGTGTCCACGAAAAGAATCGTATACTAAAAGAGAAGGTTTTTTGAAAGCTGCTCCCGGTCTTCTATCCCACACATTTTTAAGCCAATCGACTGTTACGTCAGCATCCATCCATCCCTTTTCATGGGCGCGAACCAGCACACCTGATGGAAACACAACGTTTTTCAGTAAAGTTTTTTAAAAATGATCAACGGACGAAGCTTACTGCCGTCAGACAAACAGTCTGCATTTTCCCTTTTTAAAAGTTAAAAGAAATATTCAAAACTGTTCAGTTATTGCGTGGACTATTTTTTGAAATTTTGACGTGTCCGCCTGTTAACAAAAGTATTTCATGAATGAACAATAACTATTATAAAGACTTATACGTACGTAAAAACTATCTGCATTTCTCTTTTCTTGGCGTGTTGGCAAAACTTTTTTATTGCTTGATATTGATCGGTTGTTCGGGGGACGAAAATTCTTTGGTTTAATCAAAACTTACTCTAGTTAAAGTATGAAACTCTGTGATTAGTTCGTCACATAATTTAAGTCATGAAATTACTTCAAGTAAGTGACTTATTTGATAAGTCGTCCAATTTGAGAGTGGGAAGAAAACAACTGCATTATATAAAGAAATTTTTGAACTTCCGATTCTTTTAATTTTTTATAGTCCCGCGTATAAGCCGACCCGCCCCCCCCCCACTTTGAAGTCTTTTTTTGTCCAAAATATCTCGACTTATATGCATGCGGGTATATATGGTATATTACTCAAATTCAAAACACAAAATTTGAAATCAGTTTTAAAAAGTTATTCATAGCTATTTGTTTAGAAGCATATTTCAATATATACAGTGAAGAGCATTTATTACCTTGTATCAAACATTCTTTCAAAAAATTAAAAAGACTATGAAACAAAGAAAAGACCGTAAATATGAAAACTGAAAGAATTTTGCACTTTTAAGTTCAACTCAATAGATTAATCAGTGATTAATAAGGTTTAAATATGCAGATTTAAAATAATTAAAATGATGGAGTTTCATGAAGCTTTCAAAATCAACTTATAGTATTAAACATACCTAATACATTCACTTTCATTAGATGTAGAACAAGTATCTTGGCCTCTAACATGGTTATCATCAGACCACTTATGGCATTTATTAGCCGTTTTCTTTGAAGGAATACGATATGGTCTGAGAATCATGACCTGGTAAGAGAAATAAAAGAATATTTTTAAATCCTGAAAAAACGACTTAGATAAGGAGCAAGAAAATTTGACTTAGAAAAGAGCAAGGAATTACTGAATGGTATAATGTATTAAACAGCCTTTTAAATAGTTTCATCCAGAAAAGTAAATGTTGCTTAAATTACACAACAAAGGGGATATGCATACCTCTCCTAATAAATTTATGTGACGAGGTCTCTTTTTTAATGTTAAATGTAGCTCAGTATAATGTTCAGTCATAGCAGTCACAAGTTTCTTTTGTTGCCATCCAATCTAAAAATGTTACAAACAAATTAATGCCACTGATAACCTATTTTTATTTTTTAAATAAAAGTATCAGTAAATGTATGTTTGTTTTTAATTAGATGGATTACACCAGCTGAAATCAGATAAACTATCATAATTCAATATACGAAATTCAATGAATGAATTTACCATTACCATTACCTTTAACCATTTTAAAAAACACAGCATAAACAAATGCCATAAAAATATAATTTCATTTTATTTAAAGTACATTTATTATAATTACAAAATTAATCACATCGACTAAAGTGATGTGTAAAATAACTCGACTAAAATGATGTGTTTATTACATTTGTAAGGGAGTTCATTTTGTAGAATTTGTTAAGGAGTTCTGTTCACAAAAGTTTGAATAATATTGGTCATATTCACTCTAAAAACTATTATATGAGCAGCTGAATATATGAAAATATTTTTACTACTAGTTTACATTTATCAGTTTTGATATCACATATAGCATACATCTTATGCACATATATCACATACAGCATATATCTTATGCATATATATCGCATATAGCTTATGCATAATTGGCACATACATTAAAACAAAAATTTACATAAAAATTCAAAGCTACTAATAAGCTTTAAGCAAATTTTGATGTCAGCCTAGGCAGCAACAATTGTAATATTTAATTTATTTACATATAAAATTTGAATTGATGAAAACTAATTTTTAAAAGGACAGATTTAGATTATGCATGATACATCTCCTTCAAAATAAAATGAAAAATATTACTATATTAATTATTGCTGCTTATAAAAAATAACAATTAAATATAGAAAATGTTAAGCATTTAATTACATTACAGCTAGAAATAATTAAAAACTGGTAACACACAGTTACAAAACATTAAAAATAAAATCTAAAAAAAAAATTATCAATAAAACTATATACAGAATTCCAATAATCCATGAATATCTGTAAGCTTACATTCCATCTATATGTAAGCAAACAAAATTTTGATTTTCAAAAAGTTCAGCATGTTAGATTTAATTCAGTATATATATATATATATGGTGGTCATAAAAAATCTTTCTGAATATATGAAGCTCTAACAGCCTATGCGCAAAACCAACTAAACTGAAATTTCAAATATTCTTATTTGAAGGTATGTTCTCGAGATTGTGATTATTTAAAATAATTTAGCTCTCATGGTTATGGTTACAGTGAAAATATTTTGAAATTTTCAATTGACAACAGAAACTTTTTTCATGCACAAATTGATCAGTGCACTGAAAAACCATAAAGTTTGAGCAATATACGAGGTGTGACACCAAAAAACGAGACTAAGTGTGTAGCTTGAAAATAGAGTAGGGCTGGCAACAACTGTGTTGGTGATGTCATCCCACACACCTCCTTTATCTGTGCTGCCAGTCTCGACTTATCCGATCACACCAATTGGGAGTACTGCGTCATTGACTGAACATATGCAACTGCATTCTGCTGGGGAAAAAATGCCTAATGTAAAAACCGAACAGAGAATCAACATCAAGTTTCTTGTGAAACTTAAGAAATCAGCCACGGAAACGTTTCAAAATGTTAACTGAGGCTTATGGAGATGAAACTTTTGTCTCGTGCCCATGTGTTTGAATGGCATGAGCAGTTTTCAGGGAAAATAGACAAAACACGCATGTCAAAAATCAAAATTCATGGCAATGTTAATTGTCTTCTTTGATATTATTGGAATTGTAATGATTGATTGGGTTCTCAGTGATCAGACTGTTAATCAACACAACTACATGGAAGTGACTTTGTGAAAAAATTAGGGGTAAAAGGGCCACAGTTGTGGAGTGATGGATGGCTTTGCACCAGGGCAATGTACCTGCTCACACAGCCCTATCTGTCAAGCAGTTTCTGACCAGCAAAAACATTACTGTGATGAGGCATCCTCTTTATTCACCTGATTTGGTTCCATGTGAATTTTTTTATTTCCTAAAGTTAAATCTTCCTTAAAAGAAAGCTATTTTACCTCAGTTGAAGAGGTTCAGGTAAAAACGGAGAATCTCCTGAGTGGCCTTCTAAAAACCTTGTTACAAAATATTACCAGCAACGGCAGCGCCGAATGCAGAGCTGTGTGAATGCTGAAGGGGATTACTTTGAACATGATAATGCCATGGAGAATTCATTCTCTAAGAACAATGCTTATTGGCCAGACATTTTTTTTTTCACACCTCGTACACATTGCTGGCATAAAACATTTGCAAAAAGATCATTGTAAGGGACGAATAACACAAAAAGAGGACAGAGAAAAAAAACTTTTATCGCAATTACATATTTTCAACGGGCCCACTGTCACGAACAACTAGGCATTGCATACAGAAGATTGTTGACAACAATAATGAACAAAGAGCAGGAGGAATCTCTATAACTTAACATTTTATGTTATCTTTCAATTCTAACAAATCTCATGAATTTGATGTGAACACCTTTGATAACACCAGAAGCAGAAATCTAATGGAGTGAGGTTGGGGGATAGCGGTTACCATGAAACTGCAAATTTACTCGAGATGACTCCATCTCCTAGTTCTGCGGTTAACTGAAATCTATGGCATACCCATCAAATCCACAAGATTTGTCAGAATTGAAATATGCCATAAAACGTTTACAAGACACAAAAATTGTGCACCACTCTTTTAATGAATACTCACAGAGAAGGGAAAAAAATTATACAGTACAAAAAAAGTACAAATGCTTCAAATATTACTCACAACTGTTTGATAATTTACTTGCACGATTTCATCCCCTTTCTCTACCTTATTGCATCGTTTTGCAGGGCTCTGGAATGAATATATTTCTTGAATTACTTATCTACACGATTTACATTCCAATCTGGTACATATATAAAAGATTCTGCACACTTAATTCATATCATAAAAATTCCAGAAAAACCAAAGTAAGATGTTTATGCAGATTACAGCAATACAAGAAAAAAAGATAGAATACATACCTGATCTTTTATGCCACCAATGATGTGAACTCCTGAATACGTAGATTTTATATGTATACCCTAATTTAAAAAAAAAAAAAAAAAACTTACTAAAACTCCAAACAAAAGGGATAATGACAGAACAAAACAAAATATTGCTAACGAGTCTAGATTTAATATTACCAATGAGGAAAACAAAATATTACTAATGAATCTAGATTTCTGATACTTACTCAAGGTCTGCTTTATCAGTATATTCATAGATTTTGGATTTAAACATTAAAAAATATATATATGGACTACTTTTCTGCTAAACGTTTTTAAATTATGAAAAAAAATAGCTTGCCCATTCTTAGAGAAACTGTGTTTCCTACAAATCTCTATCATTAATTATCACATTGTATTAATTAGGACTAAATGCAGTAACAGTGCATATATTTCAATAATATATGTCCACAGCTGAAAAAAAAATCAAACTTAATGCTAACTTTCTCAAATTTGTAATCATCATGAAATTTAAAATTCTGGTACTATGAGAATTCAACCAAATGGCAGAGAAATATTTATTTTTATGACAATTGCCTGAAATAATAACTGCTTGCCCTCTTGTTCTAAACAGACTTCAGAAAATCTGATCACTTTAAAGACCATCAACTGCTCATACACATATTAATATTTTTTACTCAGAAGTAGCAAATCAGTTGCTGAATAAATACCGTGTAGCACATGACACTGAAGAGAAATACATAACGAGAGCAGTTATATCTCTCTTCCCCGAGATAAATATGCTCAGTGATAAAATTCAAGTCTAAAATTATCATTTACAAATAACAGTTTACAGTACATATGACCATTAATGGTCTTAATGGTCACAGCCTTTCCAGCAAGACAAATAACCTACTTTCCCTGACTTTATAAGGGCATGCTTATTTAAGAAATATATATATGATCACATTGGCTTGCAGTTTCCATTAAAGTGAAATTTGGATAAAAAGAAAATAAAAAAGGGGGAAATTTTAAGTAAATGCAAGAGAGATATTTCTCTGGCCAAGAAATAGAACAAAAAACTGCCACAGAGATTACAATATGAGAAACCTAATATACTCAAATAGCGATTTTCGCTATGTATCAAAAGTGTTTAAAAGCACATGAAATAAGCAGTTGTTTAAAAAAAAAGCAAAATGAAGAGTAATGCTGTTATATTCTTATTTTTAACCCTTTCAGGACGGGCGTCCCATATACGCATTCCCTAACAACATCTCTTACAGCCGGGCGTCCCATCCACGCATCAGTAAAGATTGCATTCAGAGGAAGGGTTATGCGTATACGCATTTTAAGGTAGAACATTTTTCTGAAGGCCACTAGATGGCATCCTGTCCATTACTTTTGAAATGAACACAGTTTTAGGTTCCCGACCTTGAGTTTGATATATTCTGCTTGACTTTGGTATTTTACTCATCAGCTGTTTGAGGGTGGAGGCGGAGGGAAAGAGTAAACAGAGGTAGGCTCTTTAAATCGCTGCGTGCTAATGAAAACATGCTCGTATCTGATTTATATCCAATCCTTTTTTTTATTCTATTTTTTCCCTCTACTATGTACGGTCTTTTAGGGTTACTGTGCGGAGTTTTTTTACATTTTGCATTGCCTTCAGATATATTTCCGTTCCTTCTTTTTTATTTAGGAAAGCCTCACTTCCAGTCTATTATGGCCGGAAGGCGCTATTTATCAGAGGAAGAATACCCTCGTATGGTTAGTAAACCATTAACTAATGCAAATGAGAATAGTGATTCACTTTCTAAAGAGTTAGAAAGTGATACTTTTTCTAAGAGTTACAAAGTGATACTTCTGCTTCGAGATTTACACACTCGTTTTCATTTTAAATTTTGTTACTTCTTACTGTAAATAGTCTTTATTGTGTTCTTTTTATTAATTTTAAACTTTATTGATGGATTTTATCAATTAAAACTTTGGAATAATTTGAATATCCCTTCCGAAAATTATTTTAGAAGATAATCAATTTTTTAAGTATATTTTTATGTAAAATAAAAGAAAAAATGCTTAAGGGCTAATTTTAACATATATAAAAGCTCAAGTAATAATCTAATATGATACCAAAAATTACGATGCTAGAAGCGAAACTTTTGTTTTTCTGATTTTTGTTATAAAATTAGGCTTAGCGATGCAAAACCTCCGTCCTGTACGGTGACTGCCTTCGATTCTCTTCCGTCCCGCACGAGCGTCTTAAACAAAGGTGCGCCGTCGCGAAAAGGTTAACATCTACTTATGTAATGTTCATTACAATTGAGTTTATTGCTTATTTTTATAAAAAAATAATATATTACAGAAACTATCTCCTAACAAGTATTACATAAATTCAAATTCACCATATTAAATTATTAAGTATGTATTTACAAAACAATGAAAGGAAGTCAAACACTGTAGAAAAAGGATAGCCTTAAAAAATATGTATTAAATACTTATGTAACTGATCGAAACTTGTGGGTCGAAAATTGACCTCATCATGCTCTTTTAAAATATGAAAGTTTCAAACCAGCTTTTGAAAGTTCAACTTATAAATTAAAACTTACCAACTCTTCATCTGGCTTTTTCTTTATCATGGCAATATCTAAAGAAGCAGGCTGTAGTATTAAAGAATCTTTAGATCCCTGGACAAATTTATCGCATAATTCAGCAAGATGAAGTGACTAAAAAAAGAAAAAACAAAATTTACAAAACAGAAACTATGAAAATATCTCCACCCACAATGAAACAAAATTAGAATGTTAATACAATGGAATATTACAGGTGTTACCACTTTTAATTTGTTAAAATATGAAAGATCAGTCAGCAATATTTGAGCAATAAAAGCTACTACAATAGGGCATTCCACCTCTTACAATTTCATTTAAAAACTAATAAAAAGTTAAACTACAGTCTAATAATGTTGTTAAAAGAGAAAAACACACTATCTTTCTTGATAACTCATGAAGAAACTGCACATTCAATAACACATTGGTAATTTTTTAATTTGATGTGAAAAATGATTAACAGGAGGCACTGATAACTGGAGAAGTTCAGCAATAAGATTCAGCGTAATATTTGTAAATTTTGCAGGACTAGTTTTGATAGTTTGAATGCAGAACCACCTTCTTTAGCTGCCTTGGCATTTGCACTTAGGCAGCCGAAGAGGATGGTTCTGTATTTAAATCAATGAAACTAGTCCTGCAGAATTTACCAACATTATGCTAATTCTTGCTGCTTAACTTCTCTAATAAACATTATTCAGAGTGTTAATTTAACCTAAATTATAGGAGATAATGAGGTAAACTTACATTTCTTTTAATGAGAGCATGAGGACGTTCGGCAAATTGATCCCTCTGGGTGGTAGATGCTAACTCAATGCTAAGTTTCAAAACTGTCTTCTTCAGTTTAAGGCATAAAGGATCATGTTGAAATGGTAATCTGAAAAATAAAAATTTCAATACACTCAGTGAGGTTTTTCATAATAAGAAATTTACCGTAATTTCCGGAAGAAAGGCCGCATCAGCGTAAACGCCGCAATAGATTAAATTGCGCGTGACATCGTCATGGGCCGTATAGATGCAAAAACTCAACCTAAGTCCTGATATATGACATAGCAGTTAAGAAAAATGCATGAAATGAAACCATAACTCAAAAATAAATTAAAGGTAAGAAATGTATAGCTTCTATGCCGTTTAGAGACATTTTCAAAAATTTTCTGCTCCCTTCTTACTTAAAACTATCCAACAAGTACTTGTACCCAAACTGATGGGATCTGTATTTGGCAGAATGCCAAGAAAAATCCATTCATGCTGAAGGGGAAATACGTCAGAGTTCGTTATTGCGAGGCAGGTGGAGTCGTGTCTGCCTTTGAAAAAAATTGCAGAAAAGGCAGGGGTGGGGAGAGGATGGGTCCTGGAAGAGGAGAGAGACTATTCAAACTGATGAGAATGTTGATTTGAAAGGGGGAAGAATGTTATTGTTCTGAGATCTCATTTAGGGTGAATAAGGCATGTAGGTCCGTTCAAGGGAAAGAATGTAAACAAAATAACGTTCACAAAAAGCAACTGAGTGGTCTTTTGTGTGGGAACAGCACCAGTCTATGCACAATGACAAGGCCATCCAAACTATGTACAATGACCATCATAGAAAATATTTTATTTTTAGTGCACCTAAGCGCCGCATGGGTAGAAACACCGCACCCGCTGAAAATTTAAGTTTTAAACAAGTAAACGCCGCAGCCTTTCTTCCGGAAATTACAGTATATATATCTACATATGCAAAAACATTCATAAAAATAACATACCACATATGAGATATTTCTCTCGCCTTCTTAGCATGCCTTCATGGTGTAATGGTCAGCATGCTCAGTGCATATTAGAGAGGTGCGAAATTCGAGCCCTGGTGGGGGCATTGCTCATTTGATCAGTTTCCTGACATCAAAATAACTTAAAAACTCTACAGAGGCACCCGAACTAAAAAAGGTGGTGGATAATGATTTTTGACCACTAGGATTTCGCGACCGGGTCCCCTAATCCCCAGTCGCCCTTTAAAAGGGGAAGTATATAAGGTATTTCTCACACCTCCTTAGCATGCCTTTGTGGTGAAATGGTCAGCAAGCTTGGCACGTATTCGAGAAATCCGAAGTTCAAATCCCGGCGAGGCATTGCTCATTTTTCATCTCTCATGCTTCGAATTAACTTAATGTCTACACACATACTAAATTACATAAAATTACCCCAGACATTTTCACATACGAACAGCTCAAATCTAATAATTTGTTACATTTTAACTTTCATCAAATTACTTAATTATTTAGCAAAACACAATGTTTATATTAAAATACTAAACTGCATCTATTAGAATCACAGAAGCATAGATAAATTTGATTATGAACTATATCAACAGAGGGAAAAAAGTAAATTTACTTTTTTAATAAAATTAATAAAAATTTTATTAATAATTTTTAAACATTTGATAATACGGCTTGTAATTTTAAAAAGTCAGTAATAATATACGATATTTGCTTATGCTTAATCATATACTATCACAGAATCTGAAACAAAACCTACATTAACTAATGGGAGAAATATACATGCACAAAATGTAAAACCACGGAACATACCGAAATGTGATAAAAACACCTTAATAAATTAAATGGCAGAAAGTTTATATCATATAGCATATTTCTCTCAAGATCCATCCCACTCAAAATTCTAAATTAAGACATGAGAAATGAGAATAAGATTTTAATGATTTTCACAATTTTTGCATTCCGATTATTTCCCAGTAAAGCATTCTTCATTATTTACCATGCTACATTATACAGCAAAATGTGTTTCATTTAATTAAGAAAGAATTGTAGAATTCATTGTATTATAAATAAGAATAGTAATGGGAGGGAAAACTATTTTTATATGAAACCAAAAATATTGTTCACAGAAGTCAAGAGAAAAAGACAATACCAAAAATGTTATTAAAGAAGAAAGGTTCAATAATGAAGTACATTATGTTACACCATGTGCCAAACAGATTCTTGCTGAAATGTACTTCACCTTGTTCATTGTCTATTTAATACATGCATATAGATGGATTACATCTAAATCCAACCAATTTTCGCCCTAAACATGTTTTGCTTCTGTATCTGAGTGACTAAAGGTTTTCTCAAACAATCTGAAAGAATTAATTCAAACACTACATAATCTTTTCTATGAGCAGTGGCAGAGTAAGATATTGGAATATTCTAATATTCTACTACTAAAGAGTGGGTTTATTTTGCCATCACATTTTACCACGTTTATATAGTTTACCATTCATCATCAAGACTTCAGTTTTCACTAATCGGTTAGACTATGTTACACAGTTATACTATGATACAGTTATACTACTATGAGTTGGACTATGTGCACCAATTAACATAATTACAAAAATTACATAGAAAAGGATACTTTGAAAATGCTCTTATGAGACAGCCATTAATAAGTTTACAGAAGTCAAAACTGAGAGAGGAGGCTTTTTAATTCCTTAAAATAATACTGATTTTTTACTTCACACCATTTTTACAATCTAAAACTAATAATATAAATTATCGCAACTTTAAGAAACTGTCATGCTTTTTCAGTACATATCACCGATTCTTACTTGTAAAGAACACTTTTCTTTGTGTACTTACAGCACAGAAAGTGTTAAGAGAGGATTTGTTTGTCAGGTTAAAAAAAATCAGATTATGAAATAGTTAATACTAAGCCAATAAAACTTAAAAATTTCATTACTACACCTATTCCAAAGATTACTTTCAATCTAGTGGTTGTGTATTTAGATATATACTGCTTGTTAAAATTCAGGTCATTGACAGAAATAAATCTGATCCGTTACTTACTCAAAAGGATTAAAGACAACTTATTCAGAAGCATTACTTAATAAAAATTTTCATGTTTGCAAATTGATCAATCTCAGGATTGAAAGCCAAATTTATAGAAATTTTAAAATGATGGGAAAATAACCTTGCCCATTTTGCAACAAACCCTGTATATAGTCACCTCTGACAGAAATGCAAACCTTGGAGCTTGATTTCATAAAATTTACTTCATTGTTCAAGTCTCATGGATTTGCACACCATCCTTCCTTCAGAACATGCACTTCTCAGATCCCTGATGGTCTGCAGTTTGGCAACTTAAGGCATGCCACAATACTCAATCATGATCTAGTCTGGTAAGTAAGCAGGCCAGTTCATACGAGCAATATCTTCTGCTTCCAAGTAGTCTTGATAGCAGAGATGCTCAATGTGTACAAGCACTGTAACCATTACCAAAAATATCTGAGCCAAAAGCACTACTAAACAGACTTTACATGGCATTCCAAGAACTTGTACCATATCTATGACTGGTTACAGAACTTCCATTAATGATATGCAGTTTAGTGTGACCATATTTGATGATCTCTGATCAAACCATGAAACTGCTTCTGTGGGAATGAGACCTTTCATGATGAAGGCAATAATAACAGGGTTGCCACTCAAGCAGGAAAATGAAATTCTCTGACTTTTCCAGGTTTTCCAGGTGTGTTTAAGAAAATTCCAGTCCATCTGCATAGCGCACATTGGCTGCACTGAGAGGTAAATTAATTATGGTAGCACTTGAAAACACAAAAATTTGTCAATTACATATGATTTATACCCAAAGCATTACTATCATAACTATAATACGAGTTGTTTTCTCCACTGAAGATTGAGATTAGAATCTGCCCAATCTGGATTTAAAAATGTCTTTTTTTGCAGACATTTTGCAGCTAAACAAAAGAAAGATATTTATTTAATGATAGTTAAAAGAAATTCAGGTATTTTATATTTATTTAGCAACATATTTAAGCAAAAAATATGTACATTAAATGTCATGATGGTATGTCATCATACAGCTAGAATTCATTTCAGAAGTATGCCAGAGAAAACTGCCTGAAATTTGAAAGTATTATTAACAAATAATAAATAAATTCAGAAGGAAGATGTCAAATTTAATGATACAAGTAACATTAAAATAAAATTAATTAAAAACTTAATTACAATAATCAATGATATTTTGGAGAATATAATTATACAATGGCAAAATAAATTAAGACAATTTTCATATTTGATCTACGATCTCCAGAACTACTGGACAGATAAATAAAACAGACAGATAATAAAATTTGGTGTGAAAATAGGTTGATATAATACAAACACAATAAACGTTTAACAGTTATAATAGACACACATGTTCGTGTGTAACACTCATGGGAGTCTGAAGGTTTGAAACAGCGGTTACAGAAGACACAAAAAGAAATGGGTAATAGGGGGTATGGTCCCCTCTTACAGCTATACAGGCCTCGCAGCATGATGTCATACTGGAAATAAGGCAGTTTATCAGCACCTGTGGCAACTGATCCCACTCATTCAGCAACGCTGTTTTCAGTTCCTGGATGGTTCTCGGAGGGAGGTTGCAAGTTGCAATTGCCCTCCCCAGAGTGTCCCAGACATGCTCTATAGGATTGAGGTCTGGAGACCTGGCTAGCCAATCCATCCGGCGAGTATCCTCACTCTCGAGAAATTCGTCAACAAGAAGAGCTTTATATGGCCTCGCGTTATCATCCTGGAAGATGAACTCATGGCCCACTGCACCCCGGAAAAGACGAACACAGGGCTCCAAGACCACATCTCTATACCTCACACCAGTCACAGAGCCTCTGTCAAAAATGTGGAAAGGTGTGCGGCCATCCAACATGATGCCTGCCCAGACCATTACACTGTCACCGCTATAATTGCTGATTTTGCCGACATTGGAGGGTAGATAGCGGGTCCTTGGCTCTTTCCATATGAAAGTATGGCAAGAATCGGTGTTTAGGCTAAAACGAGACTCTTCGATGAACAGAACGGTCGCCTATTGCTCATTACTCCAATCACTATGCTG